TAAGGTTCCTACAACTTCATTTCTACCTTTGGTTCCTGAAAGAGAGGGCCAGGCTAATCCCTCCTCTGAACTGCAGGAAGGCAGACACTTTTGCCAGTGGTGTGGGTATCTGTGCCAGGGCTCCATTATTTAAAGAAAGCCTGATGCTGAAGGAGAGCTGAGGGAACAACTGTGATGGGACCATATAATACACTTTCCCAGTCCACTATGGGCTCCAACTTTTCTAGGAGTCTTAACATTTCAGTTTTGTTCCTACCTGAAATAATTTCTCTTCTGGAAGAAAACAAATACTAGGATAAGCAGAATAATCCCCAGGAGGAAAAGTTTCACATAGAGAATGGTCAGCAGGGAACGCAGCATGCTGGTGACACTTGTAACTACAGGCAAGGGTAAAGGGCAAGTCAGTTCAATAATGGTTCTCATCAAGGAATTAAGACAAACATCTGTAAAATCACTTACAGTATTCCTAATGTTTTACAAAATGTCAAAATCAGATAATCTTATCAATTATACTTCAAATACTACTCATACACTACTATTTCAGGATCAAATTTAGTAACCTAGACCATCTTTTGTGATTGATAGGCATTAGCAAATATATTACAATGAATAGATGCATGCTAAGTATTGCTAATTACTGCTAATACTTTTCAGTTATATAAGAAAAAAGTTTTCATACAAACTTTATTTTATTTTTATGAAAACATAATTACATCTTTTCTATCCATTCCTATTCTTTCCTCCAACCTCCAAGTGCCCTCTTAAATTCCTAACCTCTTCTTTCTTGTTTCTGTTGCCTATTTTTACATAGTATGCAAATGCAATCTGCATTGTTTACTTAGTGTTGCTTGAATGCAACATGATTTTAAGACTGACCACTTGGTATTGGATAACCAAATAGGGGGCCGTCTCTGAGGGAAGCTACTTCTCCCCCTACTCAGCACCCCTAGTTACCTGTAATTATCAGTCTAGGGGTGTCTTAGTTAGGCTTGTCATGCTGTGAAGAGACAACCTGACCATATAAAGAAAACCTTTAATTGGAGTAGCTTGTTTACGGTTTGAGAGGTCAGGTCCATTTTCGTCATGACAGGGAGCATGACAGCATGCAGGCAGATGTGGTGCTGGGGCTGAGAGTCCTACACCTTGCAAGCAACAGTAAATCAGCTGCCTCGCTAAGCATTGGAAACCTCAAAGTCCACCCCCACAGTGACACACTTTCTCTAAAAAGAAAAAAACTATACTCACTCCAGAATAGCCACACCTTATTATAGTGCTGCTTCCTATGAGATTATGAGAGCCAGTTACATTCAAACCACCACAAGGTGTAAGGAACCATGAGATTTACCTCTATCATGCTTGTATATCTATTGATGGTTGACTTGTTAAGGTTTCATGGGTGAAGCTTTCCTGTCCTTTCCAGGAGACAAAATCTTTCTTTTAAAATGTTTTTTATCTATTCATCCATTCATTCATTTTACGTACATGTTACAGTTACCCTTTCCTCCTCTTTTTCCATTTCCTACTCCCCAGCTCCTCTCTACCTCTCCCCAAACCACTCTTTCTCTGTTCCTGTTCAGAAAGCTGCAGGCTTCCCATGGGTATCATCAAAGCATCACATATCAAGTTACCATTAGACTAAATGTCTCCCCTTATATTTAGATTGGGCCAGGCAATCCAGTTTGAGGAAGAGGTTTCTCCAATCAGCCAAAGTGTTAGAAACTGTCATGCTCCCAGTGTTCAGAGCCCAGCTACACAACAGTCACATATTAGATCAGTCCCAATCCAGTTCCCTGGTTGTTGGTTCAGACTTTTTGATTTCCTAGAAGCCAGGTTAAGTGTTTCTGTGGATTTTCTTTGATGGCTTTGTACCCTTTGGCTTCTACACTCCTTTCTCCCTCTCTTCAAAAGGATTCCTGACACTCAGCCTATTGTTTGGCCATTGATCTCTATATCTGTCTTCATCAGTTACTGGATGAAGGCTCTCTGATAACAATTGGGGTAGTCACCAATCTGAACACAGGACATGACTAGTTCAGGCAATGTATCCACTACTGTTAGGAGTCTTAGCTGGGATCATCCTTGTAGATTCACGGGGTTTTCCCCAGCATCAGATTTCTGCCTGATCTCCAAATGTCATCCTTTCAAGTGTTCTTGTTCAGTACTCTCAACTTCAACCTACTTCCCAAACCAATCCCTGAAATTCCCATGCCCACGCAACCCCAGTCCATCCACAACATCTCTTCTTTTTCCCTTCCAAGAGACATCCATGTGTCTCACCTTGGGTCCTTCTTGCTGCCTAGCCTCTCTAGGTCTGTGCATTGCAGCTGGTTATCCTTTATTTTACAGTTAATATTCACTTATGAGTGAGTACATACCTTGTTTCTTTTTCTAGGTCTGGATGACATTTATCAGAATGAATTTTTTTGCTAGATCGAACCATTTACCATCAGATTTCCTATTCCTCATTGTTTTTAACAGATGAGTAGTGCTCCATTGTGCAAATGTACCATATTTGCTTTATCCATTATATTGTTGAGCGACATCTAGGTTGTTTCCAGGTGCTGTCTATTACAAATAATGCTGCTATGAACATAGTTGGGCAAGTGTTTTTCTGGCATGATTGAGCATCCTTTGGGTATATGCCCAGGAGTGATACAGCTGGATCTGGAAGTAGATTATTTCCTAGGTTTCTGAGAACTGTCAAAATGGCTTTATAAGTTTACAGTCCCACCAGCAAAGATAATGTACCCCTCTTACTCCACATCCTCTACAGCATAAGAAGTACTTTCTGTTTTTGATCTTAGCCATTCTGACAGGTGTAAGGTGAAGTTTCAGTGTCAGCTTAACTTGCATTTCTCTATAACTAAGGATATTGAACATATTCTTAGGTGTTTCTCAGTCATTTGAGATTCTTCTGTACTTCATTTTAAAAAAATCAATTATTTGGTTTGTTTTTGTCTAGTTTCTTGAGTTTTCTATATATTTTGGAGATCAGGTCTCTGTAACATGTGCAGTTGTTGAGACCTTTTCCCACTCTATAGGCTTCTGTTTTGTCTTATTTACAGTGTCCTTTGCCTTACAAAGCTTTTCAGTTTCAGGAGGTCCCATTTATTAATTGTCAACTTTAGTGTCTGTGATTCTGGTGCTCTATTCAGAAAGTTGAGGAGACACAATCATATAGTAGATTTCCTTGTCCTATGGCTCTTTTAATATTTTCTCCCTCTTCTATAATATTCCCCAAGCACTGGGTATAGGAATTGTGTTGTATGTGTATCCATGGGAACTGGACATCCTATGATCACTGTTCTCTGCATTTTGATCATTTGTGACATTCTATAATGGTTTCTGTAACCACACTTCTTGGTGGACACAAGGGTATTTTGAATTCAGAGAAGCATTACTCAGGTTTAATGAAGGGCTGTAGTACATTCGCTTCCAAGATCAATGACCTCGCTATCCTTGAGTAGTTGGCAAGGTTTCCAGTATCAGGCATGATCTTCCTCCTATTGAGTCAGCCTTGAATATAAATGGACAGTTTTGGTTTGCTCACAAGATGTGGTTGCCACTACTGAACCTTAGGGACCAGCCTTGCTGGTCGTTGTGGTTCATAAGCTTCATAGTTAGGTGGTACTACCAAGTTCTTCCCTTTTGGGGCACCATGCACAGCACTTTGGTGACTGTGAGATTTAGTCTTCAGGGAGGAGGTTTTCGGGTCAAATCCAGCTTAGATTCCCCTGAGTCCTATGTCTGAATGGCATCCCATGCAAATTTTAGATTTTGAAAGGTATTGTTCTTATTTATTTCATAAAGGGTATGAGAATTACATACAATATAATTTGATCATACTCACCTACAACTCCTCATCCTACCTCCTACCAGATCCACACCCAGCTTTGTTACCCCACCAACTTTTCGTCTTTGTTTTTATAACACACTGGCTTCAGTTTATGTTGCCCATATCCTTCTGGGTAGGAGCCTGTGAGGAACAACAGCCTTAGAGATAACTGACTCTCTCTCCTCAAGATACCATTAACTGTCCCTAGTTCCTCAATTGTCAGTGCAGGGACTCAGGAGCCCCTTCCCACTCCATGATAAATTTTGGTGGGCTTCATCTTGTGCAGGAAACTGCATGTCTGGAAGATTGTGAGTTTAGATACCCTCCCTGTCATGTCCAGAAGTCACTTCCTCTGACCGCTGACCTCTGAATTTACAAAAACGGTTTCTCTGTAGCTTTAAATTCTGTTTTTTTCTTGACCATTTAAGAGTGTCTGCTTTATCTCAACACCATTTATTAAAGATGCTATTGTTATAATTTAAAAAGTGACATGAGAAAGACATCATATCACAGAACTCAGGTGGAGGGAATTTTATTAAGGGAACATAAAAAGGGGAAGGGGAGGAGGGACAGGCCTCAGGGACAGGAACAGCAGAAGAGAGGTGGGAGGATGGGGGGAGAAACAAAGAGACAGTGAGGGGAGCAGAGAGAGAGCCAGAGAGAGAGAGAGAGAGAGAGAGGGAGAGAGAGAGAGAGAGATTGAGAGAAGAATAGATGGACAGAGCAATGTGCATCCTAAAGTCAGTGAACCATTCTACCAAATCACTGATCCTGATACACAGTTTATGAAAACATCCTGACTTTATAGCTAGCTGATAAGAACTGCAGGTGAAAGACACCGAAATCTTATTACCGGTGTCTGAAGTGGATCTGCTGTCCTAATTACATTAACTGTCTACTTGACACAGCCTAGATCTGTCCAAGAGGCCAGGACACTATGGGTGGCACCACTCCCGGGGCAGGTGAGACAGTAGCACAGGTCCGAGGAGCTGGTAAGCAGCTCCATGGTTCCTGCTTGAGTTGTCTTCACTTTCCTCTCTCCTCCTCTAAATGGCTTTGGCCACAGTATTTGTCACAAACAGAATGACATTAGAACACTTCTCTTTCTTGAAAGAACAAGTTAAATATCAATTATTTATTCTTTAAAAGCGGGGAGGACACTTACCTTGATTGAGCTCTATGGACAGAGTCAGGTTGCCAGTCGGATGGGAGACAAAGCAGAACACAGCAGACACATTGTTCTGCTCCCAGTGGTATGTGCTCCTGACAGTCACGGTGCCATTGTTGTGTGATTCCTTCTTAGTGATGTGATCCCCATCTGGAATCCAAAAGATCTGCGCAGCCGGCTTCCCTGCAATTGCCTCACAAACTGCTGTTCTGTTTTCCCCTGGAAGCAGGGTTACTGCTGGAGGCACTGTGGAGATAGAAAGGAAAAAAGATTCAGTCTTGTCACAAATTACAAAGGCGTCTGTTTCTATCTACAATCTGGTGACCTGAAATAGCACAATATGTGACCATGTCACTTACCTAGCACTTGGAGGTCATGTTTCCTTAGGAAATTCCCCTGAGGTGTTACTACATCACATGAATAAAGCCCATCATGATCGAGGGTCACTGCATTGATCTGAAGCTCAGAACTCTGGTCAGGTGTGAAGGTCCAGGTGATTCTCCTGTCTGTACAGTTGGTTTCATTGATCTCCTTTGTATCTACTCTGTAGGATACTCTGCAGGAAGGCTGGCCTCTGGAGGCTATGACCCAAATTATTAATACTGCTTTTGTCTCTGGAAGAGCAGGGCAGCACAGCAGAGCCTTTGCACCCATCTGTATAAACAGTGTAGTGTTAACTGGACACACACACAAAAAGAATAGGAAAAGGAAACCTGTGTTAAGTCTGTCCACAGCAGCGTATATGAAGTTACACTAGAGTATCATCTGACTGAGTGTATTTCAGAAATGCTAGATTCTTCTTACATTTCTTGTTTCTAAATATTCAATCTATTAGATTAAATACATTATTCATTTTCTAAAGTAAAATTCAAAGCCTGTAGGCTACATGCATTTGCACCATAAAACCTCCCATTTCCTGTATACTGACTTAGAATCCACGCTGGATACAAGTTTGCTGGTAGGTGATTACTCAACAAAATTTCTGTTATAGTCACCTGTGACCAAAGAGTCAGTGATGTCACCACTTTAACAGGAGCAGAAGTCGCTGTGAAAGCCTTGACTCTGATAAGCATTGTATTAACCATCTCAACTATACCATTTCAGTGGCACTTGCCTCTTTGGGGTCCTCAGGTCCTCACATGTCACATCAGATAAAGGTCATCTAATTTGATGACCAAGGGTTCTTTAGCACTAAATCTCTCCAGAAGCCAAAGCATTAGGTACTATTTCTAAGCAAGATGAACTCTGCATTCCCCCAGCGCTGGCCACAAGATAAAGAAGAATAGTACCTTCTTTCTCAGGTGATGAACCATTCTGTGATGTTTGATTCCCATTCATACAACCTGACTCTAGAAAATATTTAAATAAGAATGTTTAAATATTTAAATCATCGTAAGGCAATAATTAGTAGTTTAATCCTCACTGATATGTAAACACCTTGGAAATTGCATTTTTAAGATATTACAATTATTTCCCATTTATGAATGACCATATTTTGTCAAATAGTTTGTACAGTAACCCTGTTTCCCTTCTTTTGGTTCCTTGCCAGGTCCACTGTAGGCATACCATACAAGATAACTTGGTTAAATTCTTTTCTCCAAATGTCATCCCCTAATTAAAGCCACAGTGCTGACCACAAGATAAAGAAGAATAGTACCTTCTGTCATGGAAATAATAAAATACTCTGTATCACTTTATTTCAATTCATACCTGAATATCTTGACTCTAAAAAGTGTTTGAATAAGAGTTTTAAATATTTAAATTGCTATAAAATATTAATTAGAAGTTGTATCATCATATGTCAACATCTTTCTCAGCATCTTTAAAAATAGTTTTATTACATACCAATCAATTATTTCCCTTTTATGAGTACCCTTATTTTGTCAAACAGCTTTCAGAGTAGCCCTACTTTCCATCATCCAATCCCTTGCCAGGTAGGCATGATGACTTGATTAAACTGACTTGATTAAACTGACTTGATTAAACTCCTTTCTCGAGATGTCCTCTATTGGGGGATGTTTAATCACCTTTGAACCTGAAGTTTGCAATTGCATTGATTAAATAAAATTAACTATGGTTCAAGAGACTGAGTTAGCAACTAGTTGACAGAAAGTAATCATAGAGCACCAGGGAGTAATCATAGGCATCCGGGAGAGATAGAGAAACACAGGAAGTAGTAGGGAGGGATCTGGAGTGGCACAGCTTTCTTTGTTTTGTTTTGGAAAAGCAGAAGGACTGGGGTTTTCTGGAGACTCTGAGCTGCAGGTTTTCAACTCAGCCTTTTAATCTTGAGTCTTATTTATAAATAGAATGATAGAGATTTAGTCTAAACTACCTTTAGTGGCAGTGAGAGACCAGTGCCCACGGGAACAGAATTTCTGCCAGGTTGCCACCCTAGTGTCTGCTGATGGAGATGCAGGCCAGTAAATGCTGAGTAACAATTGTTGGCTGACATAGCAGTTGATTAAGGTGCAGACACAGTGCAGAAATTTAAACTACATTTCGTGCTCCAATGTGTGGCACGATCACATGAACAGAGAAGTTATGCCAGCTGGCTCTGTTGCAGTTGCTGTCTGGGCCTCTCTGCATGAACACTCACAACAGTCAGCTGTCATTTGCCAGGACTCTGGAAAGGAGGCTCCTGTTTGTAAGCTGTGAGAGGCATTTGAGTTTGTTGGTCAGCACCATGTACAAACAGTGGGAAGTCAGCAGATTTGGTGGGAAGTCCTTTAAGGGAGTGTTAAATAATATTAAAAAGAAAAGTATTTCCCACATCAAGAATGAAGAATATCACAATGCAGGGCACTAGGACCCTGCATAGTATTACCATGGATGGTTTGAAAATGGAAAATTTAAATGAAGGGATAAACTTATTAGCAGGAGGGACCTAATGTCGATTGTAATTATTATCAATTTGGTAATTAGCATTTTATCCTTTAAAAAACAGTTGTTTGATAGCTATGCCAATATGATAATTTGATTGATAAAATATAAGCCTTAGAAAGACTTATTATTTATAAGATACAAGCTTTGTAAATACTTACTATAAGATATAAGCTTTAGACAGACGTGCCAATAAATAAGAAAAATTTGGCTGATAGGATACAAGTCTTAGAATGACTTACTGTGGAAAAGATATGAGTTTTTAAAACCCTACTAATGAAAAAAGAAAACACACAGACACAGACAGAGAAATTTAGAGGAGATCCTATTGCTTCATTGCATTATGAAACTCAAGAGTACTGGCCTAAGGTTATTAGAACACCAACCTTAATTTAACCTGTTATCATACAGGAAAGGTCACCAGATGATAGGTACCCCCAAGGTTATGAAGAACTTAATTGGAATCTTGGAGAAATGTTAGATTTAAGAAATAAATTTTTGGAAGCTGTCATTTCATATGGTATGCGTTCACTTTTTGATAAATAGATGTTAAATTCATACACAACTAGGAATATAATTATTCCATAAGACTGAAAAGATTTAATTACAGCAGTCTTGGAAGCTGATCCACAGTTACAATGGAGAACATGGTGGAGAGAGGAAGCTAAGGACATAGAACAGTGAGATAGAAATAGAGGAAATGAGATTTCCCAAGATCAGCTTCTCAGTTGGACCCAGTTTACTGATTTGCAAAAACAGTCTATATTAGTTGGTAACAGTATGGTTCTATGCCATATATCAGCTTTGAATGTTTGGGACAGGATTGAAAAATTAGGAAAAGGATTGATTTATTTACTCAAATTGTAGGAGACCCAAAACAAGCCTTTATTTTTTTTTTTACAAAAACTGACTTCAATTGCAAATAGAATGATATCAGATCCAGATGTTAGACAAATATTAATTGAATATTTGGTTTTTTAAAGTGCTAATTCATAATGCAAAGGGGTGATTAGGCTTTTAAAGGTAAGATCAGTGCCCCTAGAGGAATAGATCAAAAATTCAGCTGATATTGGATATCATGTTATGATGATATTTGGATAGTAAAGGTGATTTCTAACCATTTTAAGAAAAATTATAAGGTCATATAATTTAATTGTAGTAAAGTAGGGATTGTAGGCAAGGTGTTCCTAGAAATAAGGTTATTTCAAGAGATAATCCAAACAGAAGGCCCCAGTCTTCTGGAGTATGCATAATGCATAACAAAGGCCAGAATTGGACTAATGAATGCAGATCCACAAGTGTCAGGCAAAGAAACCCTTTTCCATCCGGAAATGCCTTAGGGAACCTCTTGTAGGCACCAATGTCAAATTTGGTTCAATCATTCCCAATAAGAATTCGGAAATCCCTCCCAGAGCAATTAAAAGACTTAATACATATTGGTAAAAGCTATACTGCTCTGGATGGATGACAGAACAGTTTCAGTAAGACCAAAAAACAAGTATTTTGGCAAACTTCTAAAAATGATCAACAACTAAAGCTAAAAATACAAATTAAATAGCATTGAAATTGAGGGTTTGGTAGACATGGTACAGATGTAACATTGATTCCACTAAAATCTTGGCATCCAAATTGGCCTCTTCAGGTAAATGTTCAACGTCTAGAAATTGGAACTTTATCTCATGCAAAACAAAGTGCAAAATGTGTTGAGTGTACAGGGACAGAGGACAGATAGAAAAATTAAAACCATATGTGGCTATCATAGCAATGAATTTATGGTGACATAATTTGTAGCAACAATGGAAAACACATATTAACATTCCTCTCCAATCTCAGAAACAAACTGTAAATTAGCAAAAGTTTCTGAGAAATATTAAAATGTATTATCAAAAAGAGTCACAGACTGTTTAGGCTTACGTAAGCAGGGCATATCAGCTGCTGATCTTTCCTACCAACAGCCCAACCTTTAAAATAGTTAAATGACAAACCTGTGTGGGTGGAACAATGCCTTTGACATCAGAAAAATTACAGACATTAGAACAGTTGGTGTACAGGAGCAGTTAAAAGCTCAACATATTGAATAATTGACTAGTCGTTGAAATTCTCCTATATTTTTATTAAAAAGAAATCTGAAAATGCAAGAATCTTAACAGATTTAAGAGTCATAAATAAGATAAATCATCCAGTAGGCTCTTTACAGTCTGAAATTCCCTTTCCCTCATTATTACCTAAGGGATGGTCTATTATGCTGATTGATTAAGAGGGCTGCTTTTTCACTATACCTTTCCAAAACAAGATAAAGAAAATATTGCCTTCACAGTGCCTACTTAAAATTCCCAGTCTTTTTAAAGGTACCATTGAAGGATTCTTCCATGAGGAATGTTAAAGAGTCTCACTAATGTCAATATTTTGAACAACAGCCATTAGAACTAATTCATAAACAGTTTTCTCAATCTATAATTTGCCTTTGCATGAATGAATCTTATTGACTGATACAGGCACAGATACTTTAGGAAAAATGTTTGAAGAAAATTTTGCCTTGTGGGGATTACAAATTTCTCCTGAAAAAAAATCACAAAGAAGAGAATCTATTAAGTATTCAGTACATTAGAGAGGTTTACAGAAAATTCATCCACAAAAAGTACAAATCAGAAGAGATCAATTACAAACTCTTAATGATTTTCAAAAATTTCTGTGACATATAACTGGCTATGGCCCACATTTGAATTAACAACTCAAGAACTAATAAAGTTATTTCAAACCTTATGAGGTAGTAATTGTAATAATCTGTTCTGTCTCTTTAAGAGACAAGTCATACCCACTCCCTCCCTTGTCTGCTGAGACAAGGCTGATCTTCAGCTTGCAGCTTGAGTCTCTTCTTCTTTTCCATCTCCATCTCAAAGAAGCAGCTTCTGCCTCTCCCCACTTCTCCCCTTCCTCCTTCTGTTTTCCCTTCTCTCTCTCTCTTTCTCTCTCTCTCTCGCTCCCTCCCTCCTCCCTCCCTCTCCCTCTCCTTCTCTCTCCCTCTCTCCCTCTCTGCTCTTCTCCCCTTCTCCCTTACACCTCCATAACCCACTAAATAAATATCCAACCTCACTCTGCATGGCATGCCTATCCATGTCTCTGTCTCTTGCCTGCCCTGGACCAGCCACAGCTCGGGGACCTGCCTGGGACTGGCTGCTCTCAGGACCTGCTTTCTGCACCCACATGGCCCACTGCCACCACTGGGGATCCTGCAGCATTTTTAATTTTTCCATTACAGTAATGACTTAAATAGTCCAAGAAAATTGTCAGATTACTTTGAGAGAGTATTGGCTCTGATTTAAAGAGAGAGAGACAGAGAGAGAGAGAGAGAGAGAGAGAGAGAGAGAGAGAGAATGAATAAGGTGCATATTTGAAACTCTTTGATCAAGAAGAGCTGGACTGTATTCTGGCTATTTTACCATCTACTTATTCTCCTACAGGAATTCTTATACAGAGAAGATAGTATCTTAGAAAGAATATTTTCACCACAAAAAAAAGTAAAAAAAAAAAAAATAAAGGCCTATGTAGAAAAGTTTTCTGAATTGATTATGAAAGGAAAATTGAGACTTTGACAAATAGCAGGATTAGACAAAGAAGAAATTGGGGTACCTTTTACCAATGTTCAATTGTCTCATTTGGGGCAGAAAATGAACATTGGAAAGAGCTTGCAATAATTTCTTGAGAGAGATTAGCAACAAATATCCCAAATGTTATTACTTTGGGACACTTTAAGAACTAACTACGCCCACCCCAGCCACTTTGGACCTCCCCCGCTGCCATCTTCTCTCTGGTGCGTGTGTGTGGGTGCGTGTGGGGGGGGGGTATGTGTGTGTATGTGTGTCTTTGTTTTCTCTATGTTTGTCTATATTTCCCTTTCTTTAAGTAATAAATGTCTTGTTTTATGTATAGCCTTATGTCCATTTACTCTTCCGTCCACCGCATCCAGCCGCCTGACTCTGCCGCTCGCCCGGGGACCCTGCACTGCTTTGGCGGCAGCAGCTTCTGCCTGGCTTGCAGGCCACCCAGGCCCTCCCAACATTATATTATTTTTTTAAAAAGAACAATATTGGTGCCGGGACTGGAAAGATTCACCTGCCAAGGGCCAGAGTTCCAGCTTTACCTTTTGTCCAGGACTCTGAGCTCCAGTTTCCGGGACTGAATCGGAACCGAGGACTTTTCAACCCCGCCAACTGCCTGAACTCCTTCCTACAAACAACACCGGCTTCTATCTTATCTAGAAGATAAGATAAGCCAGCTTATCTGAGCCTTTTTATCCTGGGATTGACGGTCCTCCCAGTGTTTCTGGGCTGGGGGGGGGGGGTACTTCTCTGCCCCGTCGCTGGCGTCCATTATGGCTTGCACCCTGTGAAGCCCATACATTCCTTCATCTGGAGGCCTGGGGCTTCCAGTCTCCTTCTTCCTCTTTATTTCATTCTGTTCTTCTTTCTCATCTTTCTCACAGAAAAGGCTAATCCGGTTCGGCCTATACCCCCCCCCCCACGTGGATTGAGGACGCTCACCCATGTGTCCTGGGTGGTCGATTACGTTTTACATCTCACCTAAATGGGGAGCCGTTCCCCATAGGCTCGAGATGCCATGGTTTTTGAGGGATTTTCACGGTCTTAACCTGGAAAAGCAAGTCGTACCAGCCTATGCGGGTTTTTCATGAGTCAACAACCAGGCGGCCCTCGACTTTTAAAATCCCCACGGTTTTTCCATTCAAGCCACAACACGTGGGCGCTGCCATGTTCATTGCGGTCAGATGACTTTATCAATAAATTCACTGAAAGCCAGATCACTCGACCAAGCTTTCTCATTCTTATGTATGTCCTGCCTTTCCTCTCCCCCTCTTCGGTGTTCTCGTTAACTCTGATTACAGGTGTTTTGCATAGTGATGTGTTTTCTGATAGGGCCCATCAGAAACATACACTTTGCCTAATTCCTGTTCTCTATGTATAATGATTGTTCATTTCATCTCGTTTCAGACTACAAAATCATAAACTGATATGTACCTTTAAGCTGTTTTCTACCATTGTCAGTTCTGCCACTAATCTTAATGTTACAAACAGGTTTTTTTCTTTCTGTCTGTCTTTTTACAAATGTGGATCTTACCTATTAAGAGTCAATACAGTCAAACTCAAACCCAATCTTCCAGACAGATTCTATACTACAGCTATACCTAATAATCAGCCCTCAACTGCTCAGAGATCTGGGGAATACAATATTTAAATGTTTAATTATTTAAAAAAAACTTTTCATAACAAAAAGAGACAGGTTGGCTCCTAGCAAGCACTCTGTTTCCTCCAAGAAGGCAGAAGACCAACATCCATCTGCAGTTTGCTTCGACTGCCAAGCACTGACCATTGGGCAAAAACTGCCTATGACCTAAACTGGAGACCTCCAAATGTGGACATAATCACTGTAATCGACAGTCTAGCTGCACAGGTAAGGTAGACCTGTCTTCCTAAAGATTTCCTAGTCCACAGGGTCTTCAAAAGCCTAGCAAGCTCTACATTAAACAACAAAGGTCAAATGCAACCTTCAGCGACCAGGGAGGACCAAAGAGTAGCTCTAGATGCCAACCAAGTAAGTTCTCTGTCATTTTTTAATCAATAACTCAAGTAAAATCTTATCCTTCTCAAAGATCTCTGACAGTCTGATAGCTAAGAGGTTTTTGTCAGGTTGTCTCACCAAATAAAAATACTTTTCATTATAATTTCTGTTTTTATAAACCCGAGGAGTTCTTAATACAATACATATACATCTAAAACTTCTGTTTTTCTTATAAGTTCCAGGGAGCCGAATTAAAGAACCCACCATAAACAGGTCAGATACAAACCTCTCAATTCCCTGGTCCTAAAATTTTTTTCTCAATTTAACTTTGTCCTCTGTTCTGCCAACACCCTAACCAGGTACAAGGGACATTTCCATGCCACAGACACCTGTCCTGTCGGGAGCAGAGACCAATTATGCCAGGATGTGACCAACACCCAGCTTCTCTCGGATCTCCCTCACCCCCCCCCAAAGACGACACCCACAAATCAGCCGGAAACAGTCTTGAGAATTTGCCGCCCCAATTCCTTCAACCTGTAATGTCTAACTTTTTACTTTTTATTATAAAAAGGATCTGGGAATGTTATTACTTTGGGACACTTTAAGAACTAACCACGCCCACCCCAGCCACTTTGGACCTCCCCCACTGCCATCTTCTCTCAGGGGTGTGTGTGTGTGTGTGTGTGACTTTGTTTTCTCTATGTTTGTCTATGTTTCCCTTTCTTTAAGTAATAAATGTCTAGCTTTATGTATAGCCTTATGTCCATTTACTCTTCCGTCCACTGCATCCAGCCGCCTGACTCTGCCGCTCGCCCAGGGACCCTGCACTGCTTTGGCGGCGGCAGCCTCTGTCTGGCTCGCATGCCACCCGGGACATCCCATCATTATATTATTTTTTAAAAAGAACAATACCAAAAACAAAAACAAAAAAACTTCAGCTTATAAAAAGAACTAATTGTATACTCCCTCATATGAAAAAAATAACACTATTTTGGAGTCTCTACATTCTATTCTGATACAAATAAATCAGGAAAAATGGAATTTGTACCAGGAAAACTAAGTAAAATGGCTCAAAGCCCTTATAATTTAGTTCAGAAATCAGAATTATATTCTATTCTCGTGGTATTATTACATTTTCCAGAACCTCTTAATATAATTATTGACTCTCAATAAGTAGATAGAATTGTTTTACATAGTGAAACTGCTGAGCTTATTCCTGGTGATTCAGAATTAATAATTAATAGATTCAGAATTTATTAAAGAACAATAAATTCATAAGATTTAGTACTTTCAGTGACAGCAATTTATTATATAAGCCTGCTTGCCTTGGAAACCCAGTCAAGGAAAATGCCAGTTCTTTAGTCTCAATATTAATTACCAGTATCAACTCTCACATCATACAGCATATGTATGATATGATATATATATCCAGGTTCAGGTTCAGAATCAGATGAGTAAATAGATAGGCAGGCAAGCAGGCTGTGTCAACAGTAAGAGAACAAGCAGATCCAAAGGTCCAAGGACAGCAAGGAAGAATTCTTTTGTTGGTCCTTGATGCTTGCCCCAGGTGTCAGATAACAGATTAGCCTGTGGTCACACATCACATGGCTAGATTTGCATCACTGTAAGGTTCAGGTAAGGTCTTCATAAACTTTCCTTGGTTTAATGTGTTCTTTTAATTGCTCATGTGTTCATGTCTCAGTTCCAGAATTAACTTTATTATTTATTCAGTTACAGCGAATAATCAGAAATAGAAATCATCCTTTGTATATAACACGTATCAGATCCCATACAGGTCTACCAGGCCATCTAGCACAACAGAGTGATGAAATTGATCCGCTATCGGTAGGAAATATGCGAGAAGTCTAAGAATTTCATAAGAAACACCATGTTAACAACAAAGGTTTCAAGAAAGCTCTTTCTAGCACTTGGAAATAAGTCAAAGAAACTATAAGGATATGTCCTACTTGTTCTTTGTATAATCAAACTCCATTACCTACAGGAAGTAACCTAAAGGGAGCTCAAAGAAATGATATTTGGCAAATGCATCTGTTTCATTTTTCAGAGTTTGAAAAATGAAAATATGTGCACCATAACATAGATACACTTACAGGATTTCAATTGGCAACGACTTTAAGTTCTTAAAAGACTGAGTCTATAATTACACACGTATTAGAAATCATGACCATTATGGGAATACATGTACTAATTATGACTGACAAAGCACCAGCATATGTCTCTAGTAAAATAAAATAGTTTTTGCATATTACAACATCAAGCATATTATAATATACTACACAGTTATATAAAGCAAGCAGTTATAGAAATATCTAATCCCACTTTAGAAGATATGCGCAATACACAGAAAGGGGTAATAAAGACCCCCAGGGTAGATTACACAGTACTTCATTGGCTTTAAAAATTTTAAATGCTAATGAACAAGGAATAAGAGCTGTAGACAGACATTAGTTAATAACAACGTAATTGCTGAATTAAATCAGCTTGTACATTTTAAAGATACGTTGACCTCAGAATGGAAACCAGGATATGTTTTGTTGGGAAGGACTTTTGATTTTGTTTCTATGGAGGAAGAGATACCACCTCTTCCTATGCTATGGATACCACCAAGATTGATTAAGATTATAAACAAACAGAAGAAACCTCTCTCTTTTTTTTGCTTTATCTTTGGAGCCTCTCCTAGTATTTCCTCTATAGCCCAGACTGCCCTTGAAATCACAGAGATCCACCTGTTTCTGTCTCCTGAGTCCTGGGATTAAAGGAATGCACCACTACCACACAGTGACACCTCTTGATTAGGAGAGCTTGTTCATTCAATCCAAACTAACTTCTAAAACTAATAAGTGCCTTCATTTCATCAGGTAAGAAAATAATAAAAATAACTTTTATTATTAAAATATAACACTTTTTCTGTTGCCAAAATGCCACTTTGTCTTAACAAAGATATAACCTGACAAAAAAAGAACTTCCCAAAGTTAGAATTGGGAAAGGGTTTTGGTTTTGGCTTTCCAGGAAAATAAAAGCATCCTACTAAGGAAACTGAAGATCACTGGACTCATGAGACATCTAAAAAGAAGAATGAATCATCTAGAGAAAAATGTATCAAGAAAAAGAAGAAAAAATGGTATAGCACATTTATAACAGGATAAAATTTCATAAATCTTCACAAATATTTGTTTCTGCCACTCTTTATAAACATAAAAGTCAAATGGTCTATTGATGGTCTCAATTCAATTAAAAATCAAAGCCAGCTTTGGGGTTGGAGCATGGCTCTCTCCTTCTCTCAATTCAAGCAAGATTGTTAGAGGAAAATCCAAAATCTCTGTCTCATGTCAAAAGAGCCACCTAATATGGGACAGAAGAAAGTCAAAATTAAGGGACTATTCTATTGTCACTAAGGCATAAATATTACTTCTAAAGTTATAAGATTACTATACACATAGTAATTTTATATATAATATATAATATTAATATATGATATATAGATTTAATATATCTTATATAATTACATAATTTTATTTATTACCTATTATATACTTAATAATATATAAAGTAATAAGCAATAATATATATATTTAAACTTTCTGTCATGATATTAATGGTCATATAGAGTACTATAATTCTAGAATTTGGTTTTATTTAGCTTCCTGTACATGATTTCAGTGAGTCTGAATCAGATAACTAGAAATTAAGTTTGTGTACCCTGAATATACTTAATAGATTGTGGCCTTTTAATATCTCTGAGATATCCTGCATATATTTAAAAAGTTTAAGTTTTCTGCAGTGAACCGTGACCATTCCTAACAATGATCCTTGAAGTTAGGTTAGAAAAGAAACTCACAAAAGAAGTAAGGTGTATAAGTATGAGAGACATAAAAGCTTAAAATGGTGATCTAAGAAAATATTTTGAGGTCTGAAAAGATAGTTCTGGATTGGCAATGCAAGTTAGGATAGAAAGTGAATTAGGAAAAAACTTTGGACTCACCAAGATAGGATAGATACAAATACAATGGACTGAAAATTTTGAAAATAATCCTCACTTGATAATTGTTCTTATTATATATGGTTTTACTGTATTTAGAGTTAACAACTTTTGTTTTTATTTAAACTAAAAGGGGCAAGTTGGTGCAGGAGAATTGTCTGTAATCTATCAATTATATTTTAAATAAAGCTGATTGACCC